GATCTCCCTCTGAGAAGTCATCCCTACCAAGTAGGCCAGAGATGAGATAAGGGGATGTCACCACGGACCACACCAGCATTCTAGCTGATGACCATGACAGGCACCACCAAACCAGGAGGATGCAACCTTCCCAGACACATCCTCTCAGAGGCAGTAAGTGCTGATCTGCAGAGGCCATAATCCTGACAGCATCCAAACTGCTGTGAGTCTCTAGGTCCAGTCATGCCTGACACCATTCCAAACTTAGTTCCTCCTCCTTTGTATGATTGTTTTCCAGCATTTCTGTCACTATAAAGCTAAGTCTGGTTACACAGAAACTGATTTCCAGAAGCATGGGGTCAGAAGGGACAATCCCCAAAATGTCAGCTTGCCTGAGCAGAGGTCATGGAGGAGTTGTAAGGATGTTGCTATCTCTCAGCTGAAAAATTGGAATTCCACATATACAGCCTCAGCACCAAGGTTGAGGTGCAGCCTGTTACTGTGGGTGAGAGCCTGAGGTCTGGAGCCTGGCAGTGGGGTGTGTACCTAGCCCCACCCTCAGCTCAGAGAAGCCCCAAGGCCTGCTGCTGAGGGCAGACCCCCTCAGGGCCTGAAATAGATCCAAGGACTTAGAGGAACAGTCAGTGGCTTTGGTTTCTCATCCATGGATCTTACGCCAATTGCCAAAGGCCAATAACCAAGAGTCCTAGGGAGCCACAAAAACCAGACAGAATCCTAAAGTTGCAGACAAAAACTCCACCTGTTGGGCCCATAAGGACACGTAAAGTACTCCACTCACATTAGAAGAGGAACTACCTAGCAGCAGCAGCTCGTTCTTCACAAACTGTCCCCTCAAATGCCCAGAGGGCTGAGAGCCAGGACAAAGTCTCCCATGAAAAAAGCCTGGGGTCAGGCCACATCATGGCCACAGAGTCCACAGCTATAAGCTACAGACAGCCTTCTCTGAGAGTTTCTACTTCCTGCTTTTTAGAGACAGCGGACTTCACTGATGTAAAGATCTTTACTAAGCTAAGGATTAGACAGGAAGGAATGGCACCAGGGAGCTCATGCCACTAGTTCTGGCAATACTCCCTCCTCCTAGACCACTGCTTCCTCTGGGGCCACATCACACAAGGCTGGCTTCGCTCACCTGCTCACTGTTTCCACCAGGGAATGGACCCAGCTCTTCACCTTGGCATCCCTAACAGGTACCTGCTTACTGAACTGCTGACAAATGCTATTTTCTTAGTGGGATGTGGGTCAGAGACCTCCAGAAACAACACTGGAGGAAGGAGGGCACTGAGCAGACAGAAAAGGATGAACACACTGCAAATGGTTCCAAGTGAGCTTGGTGGAAAAGAGATGCTACAGGCTGAATAACCCAGGAAGCTACTTGTGCAGGGATCACTCAATCTGCTCAAATGCAAGCTGGCATCCATACATAAAGAAAGAAGGGTATGACCAGCAAGGACACTGACTCAAGACTAAAGCAAAAGGAAAGAATCTCAGAAGTGGCAGGTCTTTTCATAAAGGTGTTTTATTTTTCTATTTTAGTGGAAGAAATATATTTCTCTGTTGTTTTGGCTTCTTTATACATTTATTCATTTATGTGCACACAGCATGAAAATCAGAGAACTTTCAGAAGTTCTCTCCTTTCACCATTTGAGTCCCAGGGACTAAAGGCAGTCACCAAGTGTAGTGTTTGAGTGAGACACCAAAGGCCCATACATTTAAATGCCCAGTCACTAAAGAGTGGAACTCTTTTATAGGATTAGCAGGATTACAAGGCACTTTATTGTTGGAGGAAGTATGTCACTGGGGGTGAGCTTTGAGGTTTCAAAAGTCCATGCTGGGCCCAGGCTATCCCCCACCCCCAGCCTGTAGACACTCAGCTGCTTCTCCAGCACACCTGACTGCCGCCATACTCCCTGCCACACTGACAATGGACTCAGCCTCTGAGACTGTAAGCAAGCTCCCAATTAAATGCCTTATTTTTTAAGAGCTGCCTTGGTCATGGTGTCTCTGCACAGCACTGTTCAGTGACTTAGACATCTTGCTTGATGGGCAAGAGCCCTAACCCACTGGGAATGCTACCAAACAAGACAGCCAGCTTCACAGTGCTCTGGCTTCTGATGAACCTGACACAGACAATACCTCTCTTTACCCTTAAAGAATTTGAATGGTCATGTATTTCCCATCCTATAGACATACACATGTCACACATGCTGATATTTAATCAACAGAAACCCAGGACTCCTACAGCCACCCCTCTCTCAAGGTCTCCATCTCTTAAGGTCCACATCTCTGCCTTCCTGAGAACAAGAGCCTCAATCTGATAAGGAGGTGGACCTCATGTCCTTCTATGATGCTCTGAGGCCACATGCCAAGTTCCTCTGCTCTGAAGAAAAGGATAACTGGCTGGGTATGCTTTCACATCCTTGAGGATGGGAATGGAGGGACCAGAAGCCTGTCCCAAACCCTGGAAAAACAACAGCAGCTCACATTTGTTCCCATCAAGTCTTCCAAGCTAGCTGGCTCAGGCTCCCCTCTAACACAGCAGCTGTGTCCTCTCCTTCTTAGCCAGGGGCACACTGGGTAGCCCCAAATGGAACCACCCACAAAAGGGTCCTCAAGCTGTAGTCTAGGGTTGTGGAGATGGCTCAGTGGTTAAAGGACTTGCCATACAAACAAAAAGACCAGAGTCCATATCTCCAGAATCCATAAGTGTTGGGTGGGCATGGCAGCCTGGTTGTAATCCCAGTCTCAGGAGGTGGGGTCCTCAGGGCCAGCTCGGTGTTTAACTGAGAGACTCTGCCTCAGCGAATAAGGCAGAAGAGCAACTGAGGATGATCCCCAACACCAACCTGAGGCCATATACATGCCTGCACACACATGCACGAGAACCCACATATTTATACACAAACATGCCTCCACACATACATGCATCTAACATACACGTGCACGCACATGCTCTCTCTCTCTCTCTTATGCATGCTGGCACACAAGTATCCACGTACTCAAAAAACGGAAAAAGAAAAAGAAAGCTACAGCCTGACACCCAGAGGTTCTGGAGAAGCTAAGTGATGTCCTGGGTAAACGGCTTCCCTTCCATCAGCCTCACTTTCCTTGTCTGTGACAAGGATTTGGGGTAACTCCTTTCCACCTATGCCAGAGGTTGTCTGGCTGCCCAGGTTCAAAACCGGTGCTGTGAGATCTGGCAGGAGCCACCTGCAGCAACCCCAGCTCCTCATGCGTAGCCTGGGAAGAAGAGAGCACCAACTCAGGGGTCTGGAGACTCCAGTGAGGCCACATCTGACTTGAGGTGAGGATACAATGGCTCACCGCCATTGTATGAGCTCGGGGCCCTGCTGTCACTACCCTCATGCCCTCAAGCCAGCCCCCAAACCAGCCCTCCCCATCTCCTTTTGTGCACTCTGGGTGAAGAGACCCACCAGATCCCGCAGACTCGGTTACACTACAAGCATGCACACGCTGAGCACGCACAGGTTCAGGCAGACCCCAATGTGCCAAGCAGCAGGGGTGGTCACTGCAATAGGACTGGGAATACAAGCAGAGAGGAGTCAGGCAAGGGGCAGGAGGGGGACACATGCAGTCACTGAGGGATGGGAGAGCCAGCGCAGCCTACAACTGAGCCGCCCGCGCAAGCAATGCTGGATCCTTACCTCCCTGGCAGGACCTCTGACCACCAGGACGGTGTTCCCCCAAGAAGCTGGAGGCATGCTGGAGAGAGTAGAGAGCAGGACACAGAGCAATATGTACTGAGCAAGGCTGACAGGAGAAAGGACTGAAAAGGAGCCCCCAAGGGAGGATATCCACAGATGAAGTGGTTCCCAAGAGACCCCAAAGACCTGAGCACCCAAAAATGATCACTTCCCAAGCCTGGCCTTTGCCACCGGCACAGAGGGAGGTGAGTAGGCAGAGGGCAGCCCTCACAGACTAGGCTCTAGAGGTGGGTCCTTGCCCTCCAGCCCACTGCCCCGGGAAACCAACTTGGGAGGCTTCTAGGGTAATGTGGACTTAGCAGAGAAAGGACTCAGGGACCTCAGTCTCCTCCAGCCAGAGTCCAGCACAGGGAGAGAATGCTCATTTTCCAGTGCCAGCATCACAGACTGGAGGGTCTGCTCCTCACTCCAAATGGTTACATTTGGGCAAGGTACATTTCTTCTCTAGGCCTCAGTTTCCCAATGTAGAAAGAGTAGCACATACTCTACCCGTGCCAGGCACCAAATCCCAATCGGAGTACAGGTGGCTTTTCTAGACTTCTCTCTCTCTGAAATAGAGAGATGTTCAAACATCCCAGAATGTCAGCAACAGGCTAGGAGGAGGGATCTCACTGCCACTAACAGCAGGCCCTTCCAGGGTTGCAGAGGAAGTGAAAGAGTCTAAAAACAAATGTGCTGTGTGTGTGTGTGTGTGTGTGTGTGTGTGTGTGTGTGTGTGTGTGGTGTGGTTATCAACACTACTGGAAAACAGTCCCTTCATGAAATTCTTCTCACTGACCCTGTCCTCAGGGTTTCTTCTAAAGTGTGCTTTGCCCAGGGAGGGCTGAGACTCCTGAGGGACAGAAAGTCCTTATCACTGGATCTCAGCACCCCCTCTCTGCTCACGACAGGGACCCCACACCTGGAGAGTGACAGATCCTGGCAGAGCAGTCTTCTTGACCTGGTTATATAACGTAGGTGGTCACGAGGGCCTGGAAGGGCTGGTAGCACAACCTCCTAATTACAAATAAGTCAACTGGAGCCAAGAAAGGTGAAGAGGCAGTTTGCCCAAGGGCATCCAGTTTGCTAAGCAGTTGTCAACAGAGCCCAGGTGAGAACCCGAGTCCACAGTCCCTTGAGCAGCACTGTGCAGCTGTGCCTGGGGTTAACATCTGGACACTGCCTTACAGGTCCCACCCTCAACATGTTCACTGCCCTGCGCTGCTGCCTGCTCTAGACACCTGAGTGCAGAGTGGACCAGCTGGGCAGTGGGGGCCCCAAAGAGGAGAGCACAACTACCTTTGATGACAAACGCCTCTGACAGCAACCGCATCTGATAAAGGGGCTTGTTCTCCACGGCTATGTCATCGATCCCGGCCCGTGCGTACATGCTGATGGCATCCCGGTATGAGCCCTCCACATAATGCAGCTTGCCCAGGATCAGCATGGCCTCACACATGTACTGTGGCTGAAAGGACAAAGGTGTGTAAGCAGGTTCCAGCTCCAACAATTCCATCTCTCTCCCACTGAGCCACAAGCCATGATTTGCCTAAGACTCTGCTCAAACTCTTCCTCCAGGCAGTCTTCCATGATGCCTTGCTCCATTGCCTCCACAACCAAGTCCACAGCCTAGTCTATGGCCTACACTGTGGCTCCTCCTGAAATGCTTACAATGTCCCTAATTGCTTCTTGTCTTGACTTCAGGCAGCTGCAGATCTGGGCCTGTCTTCTCTCCTGAAGCCCTCACAAGCCCTCACAGCCACCCAGGCTGGCTCCCGGAAATTCAGCACTTATTCTGAATAGTTGGGGACAGGAAGTGAGCCAAATTTTATGGCAGCCCTAGAGATAGATAGATAGATAGATAGATAGATAGATAGATAGATAGATAGATAATTTATGGCTTTTCAAGACAGGGTTTCTCTGTGTAACCTGGCTGTCCTGGACTCGCTTTATAGACCAGGCTGGTCTTGAACTCTCAGATATCCACCTGTCTCTGCCTCTCGAGTGCTAGGATTAAAGGCATGTACTACCACGCCTGGCTAGGAGTCCAAAATGTATAGTGTGTGTGTTAGGTAAAATTAAAGAAATTACGTGAAAGGCTTTAGAAAGAGCTCATGAGCACCCTGAAGCTGGCATCTACACCCCTGCAGCAGGAGCTCTGGAAGGGGGAACAGCCATATTAACCTCATGGACAGAGGATAGGAGGTCACCGTCCTCATCAGGGTTAAGCACAGAGCCCAGGAGGCCCCAAATAGCTAGTACAAAGCCTGCTCTACTAGCTCAGGCCTCTCACAGCATCCTTAGGGACTCAGCTGCTCTGCTTGGCCCTGGCCCAGCTACCCTAGCAAGGCACGTGCTGTCAGATCACCCAATACTGCCGGCCGAGGGAGGCTGAGCTGAGCTGGCTGGGCGCAGCCCTCAACTCCAGCCTTAGATAACAGTCTATTCTACTTAAGGTCTTCCCCCTCTTGAGGGCTACAGCCTTGGGCACAACTGGCCTATCAGGCCAGGCTCTGGCCATTGTCCTTGGTACAAGGGCAATCAGACTAGAAAGCTCCCTGGGGGTGGAGTCCTGGTCCCACCCCCTAACCTCTCCCACAGGCTGGAGTGGGTAGGTAGGTCAAGGCATCTGTGATCCCAGGGAGGGTTCTCCACCACTCTCACCATCCTCTTCCTTCTAAAGGGCCAAGTAAGAGAAACAGGGTGAGGCCAAGCCAAGCCCCATGGAAGCCACCCTTCCATTCTCCATCCCCCTTAGTCTCTGGTTTTGGAAAATACTATTCCTTTACTGCCTCTGCTCATTCAGAACAATTCCCTATGCCTGCCCAGACTGTCACCTGTTCCCTTAGCCTCACCTCCTCCTGGAAGCCTCCCCAGCGCCCAGGAAGCTCCCTCCTGTGACGTGCCCACAGCACTGAGGAAGACCTACACACCTATCCTGTTCTCTCTGACTACCTTTAACTCTCAAAGGCTGGTTTGTTAGAAGCCATTTGTTAGTGCCCCCAAGAGGCCACCTGCTTCCTCAATCAGGGCCTCAGGTAACAAAACACATCCCCAGAGGGATCCAGCCCAAAGTGCTCATGAGCTGTGTGGTGTCTTTGCCATTCCGTGTGGTGGTCTCAAGCTACAAGCTCACGTCTTCCTACTCACAAGGAGAGATAACACCCATCCCTGCCTCCCATCACAGTGAGGCTAAGGAACTCACAGGGCAAAGTTGAGAACACAGCTTCAAACTTCCCCTGAGAGAGGAGCATGATAAATACAGGCTGTGAACAGTGATTATGATCACGCACATGGGTGAAAGGACAGCGAGGCTCAGGGCATGATGAGTGGGTGTGGCTGCTGGCACATCCCGGTGGACTAAGGACAGTTCACAACAGGGCACCCAGAACCATACAGTGAGTACAGTGAGGGTGTCTCTTTTCTCCCATATGGAGCAATGGTAGCCGCTATATTGTGACTTGTATAATATCTTCACTTTGCAATGTTACGTCAGCTACCCTGGCTCTGAATTTGAAGTCTTCTTGTCTGTCGACCTAAATAGTCAGAACCACTAATCCTGACCAAGGGAAAAGGTGCCTGAAGAAATTCCTGGGCTTAGGATAAAGATCCCCCTGCTACCCAGATCTTTAGCCACCTGTCCTGTCCCTGACCCGTGTCCCTGCAAGCTCACAATATGCCCAATAGGAAAGAACACACGAGAACGTATTTCGCTCTGAAAGTGAGGCCTGTGGAAGCCATCCTCCAACCAGGGCAAATTTCTCAGTCATTACTTTACTCCATTCCGGGTCTTCAGGAGTCTGCACCAAGAAGGAGCAGGGGCACCTGCTTGGATGTCACAGCAGATGGGACCGTATCTGTTGAGTCATCGCCTCTTCCAGGTCACAGAAGTGGGGCTAACGGCATCCCATTATTAAAAGTCCCTGGGAAGCCTTAAGGAGACACTGCAATCCCAGAACCAGGGAACAGCTGAAGTTAGGGCGGTGGCTTATCTTCAGTGATAACTGAGCGAGACAGACTTGAGGGGTCACCCAGGCTGCAGGGTCATGATGACTACCTTCCCCCACATCCATCAGAGCTACTTGGCATACACAGGATTCCACCTGCTGCCCAGAGTCCCCAGCTCCGCCCACCCTTTGGGAGTGGGGTAACTCACTCACCGGCAGCTTCCCATTGTTAAGGATGCTGCTTAGATGTTCTTTGGCTTCTTTCAGCCTGTCCTCATTTTTCTCCAACAAAGGAATAGAGTCCTTTATTTTGTTGTGGTTATCCTTCAAACACTGCTCCAGAAGGGCTTCTGCTAGCAGCAATTTCCCAAAGTCATCTGAAACACAGGACAAGGATCCTTGACTGCTTGAACATACATGGTAAATATCCTGGGCCCGGAACTGCCCCTACCCAAATGGCTCAAGTCTGAGAAAATAAAGATGCATTTTCCATAAACTTAAATAGGCTTTTTAGACTGAAGGGAGTTCTAAGCCTGTCTGGGTGACCAACCAAGAACCCACCTAAAAAAATAAATGCTCCCAGACAAGCCATGGAAGAGGAAAACTGTATTGTATGGCTTAATAGCCCATTTCGCATTCTCCTAGTTTCTTAGGTCTAGCATAATTGATTTGCTCCATGTTAAGGGACTTTCAGGTTCAAGATGACCCAGCAGCTAGAGCAAAGAGTGAATGTGGCATGTCTGGTTTCTTGCGTAGCAAGGCAAGTCATTGATCACGTTTTCAAATGTCTTCTCACATAAGGAGCTCATCTGCAGACGTCATAACCTGGCAAGTAGCTTTAGAGGATTTGATTGTACTTTCCCCTACCACAATGAAATTCCAATCTTGTCACTACCACATTCCTGCTACCTGTGACAGAGGGACACACACACACACACACACACACACACACACCCACACACGAGCCAGGTGTCTGGTATACAGAGCTTAAGTCCAACTGCCTCAGCTGGCTGTGCCTGCCCCATTACCCAGGATGAGGAACTAGTCGATGGAAGTATCTCATAAACACCTGTCTGGTGAATGAGACTCCCCCTAGCTCGGAGGGAGCCGACAGACTTGGGTGTGTATGTCTAGGAATATAGGTGGGGCCTGCTCTGCCCCACCTTTTCACAATGCTTTCATCGACCACTACTCCCTCCTCCTGAGAACCCCTGCTTCTGTTCAGTCTCAAGGCCAGATCCAAAACTGCACTCCTGAGAGGGATTCTCCCTAACAACCACGCAGCCCTGAACCACGCAGCCACACAATCCCCAGGGCAGGGGGGGCTGCCCTGAAGAAGCATCATCAGACCCTTTGCTACCAACCTCAGGATTTTTAAAATTAACATTTGAGGACCTGCCTGTAACAGTGCCACTTTCAAATTCTCATCCGGTGATGGACTATAAGTTGAAGAAATTTCTAGAAAGGGCTACTTGGCAACATTCTACAGATGTTTTTGCACATGTGTAAAACAACCTACTCATAATTCCTCAGCAACATTTATACTAGAAAAAAGAAAAAGGCAGAGAGGCTTTATGTCCATCAATGGGTGGCTTAATTAAAATTCCCTATGTCCATAAAAAATGACACCCCTGCATCCACAAAAATGGGCTGAGGATGCTCTGTATATGCAACTGTAGAAGGAACTTCAAGTTAAACTGATAACAAAGCAAAGTGAGGAAGAGGCAGGCAGATCTCTGAGTTTGAGGTCATCCTGGCCAAGGCCTGCCAGAGTTAGGTAATGAGCCCATCATCGAAAGAAGGAAGCAGTGAGCAGGTCATGGAACTGACACCCCTTTAATATCAACAGCAGCACCAGATGTCTGCAAGTTCCAGGTTAGCCTAGTCTAAACAGAGAGTTCCAGGCTGGGTAGGGCTACTTTGTGAAACCCTGCCTCATTAAAACAAAACAAAAAAACAGAAGGAAAGAAAAAAGCTGAGTGCACCATGGTGCCGCAATCATAAGCCATTGTGTGTTTCTGTATGCACATGACAGAAGACACACACACAGATACACAGAAATACACATGCACAGACACCTTTGGAAGCCTTGGGAACAGGCTGGAGACACAGTAGAGCTTTTCAGTCTTGTGGCACCTTTGGCAATATGTTTGACCTTTGTAAATATACCATCTACTCAAAAATAAGATTTAAACCAACGCAGGCCTGGAAAGTGACCTTCATTTCCAAATATCAGCAGGAAGAGCAGCTGATGTCTAGCATGGATGCATCATCAGTCCCAGCTCTCACCAGAGCTGTGTACCTCTGTGCTTCTGGCTCAAGGCTCTGCCCTGCTTTGTGAAACCCACAGCAGGGTTCCAAGCCAGCTCTAGGAAACTGTGTCCTCCCCAGGCTCCTCCAAAGAGGGGAAGCCTCTCCATCCCCTGCAGCTTAACTCCCCCCACCCTGCCACAGAACTCACCTAGCCCTCCCAGAGGTCCTGGTCCCCATCTAGTTACTTTTCATGCCAAAAGAAATTTGCTTTGCTCCCAGAGTGCCCCCTGAACCCTTGCGGCCTAGGGTGGTATGCTCCGTGCAGGTTTCAGCTTGTGGCACCTTCTCCACGGGTATGAAAACCTGAGTGCACTTGTAGAAACCGGACAAACACCATTGAACTGGCTGAATCGAACGATTAAAATAACTAAATAAATCAGAAAGAGGTTGCAGAACTTTGTGTCTCCCTCCCTCCCTTCCTCTCCTCGGTAAGCAGCAGAGCAGGTGAGAGACTTAACCAAGGACTCTCCCCTCTCCAAGTCTGTTTGATGAGCACTGCTCTAAGCCCTGAGGGGACAGAACTGTGGAAGGGACACTAACATCTGTTGTGGGTCTGCTCCATGCCAGGCATTTTATTGTGTAATCATATTTAGCCTGCACAGCCCTCTAAGGTAGCTGGGTGTCCCATATTTGTGGTTTTGTTAGGGTAGCAACCAAGGACAGTGACAACACGACATAGGCAAACAAGAGCGTCTGTCCTGTATCTCACTCACAGCAGAGATCTTGACAACTGGAAGAAAAAGATGTAAACATTTACCTAATGTGTTACTTATTGGCTAGGGCACCCCATTGGTCATGTCTGGCCAGAGGTCAGAGGTCAACCTGTAAGGAGTCCATTGATTCTCACTTTTCACCATGTGGGTACAGGATGGAACCTAGGCTGGCAGGCTTCTCAACAAGCACCTTGAGCTACCTTGCTGGCCTCAGACAGTTTAAAAATAAAGAAAGGTCTGCAATCTTCTATGATTAGGCTGAACGCTAGCAGTGAATCCCACAGCAGGGGCAAGCGCCTCTCGCTTTACTGCAAGGATGTGAAGCACTGTTTGTGTGTGGTGCCAAGGTGGCCTCTACCAGAGCCTCATCTCCAGCCCCTCTGGCTGTCTACTCTCAATGCCAGTCCTTTTCAGGGAGGCTTCCCTCCCAGCCTCCTCTACCAAATCTGTTGGTTTGGCAGACTCACTCGACAAGTATCACGTTATTTCCTTTTCTCAATTCCCCTTCTCCTTACTCTTTTCCCTTCTTCTTCCTATCATACTATTCTCCATTGAGAAGTCTATGAAAGTAAAGGGCCCCTGGGAATTTCAAGTCCTAAATTTTCAATTAGCCTGAATCATCTAATTAGGGTGAATCAGCTCAGCCCTGTCCAGGTCTGGGTCAGAGGATCTAGCTCCTCTTGTCAGAGCCATGGCAGCCCCACAGGACACCTGCAATTAGCAGAGGCAAGCAGGGTTCACTGAGTGGCCACCTTTGGAAAACACACATGCACATTTACAGCTAGGAAGTGTGGGCCAAATCAGCCTTCTCTCTCTTTCACATCAAACTGGTAAGAGATTCTGTGGCTTCTATCCCCAAAGGCTTGCAGGGACTGAGGCCCTCCAAGCATGGACTTGGGAGAAAAAGGTGAAAGACCAACCTGCCTCAGACACTTAAACTGAAGCTGTATTTAAGGCAATCCTTCCAGTTAAAGAAACACATCATTCTAATGAAAAGCAAAACCAAAGAGACAATTATGGTATAGTGTTTATACTTTTAATGGGTTATTTCCTAAAACGGTAAAGTCAGGGAGAACAGTCTGAAAAAGATGGATCATGAGGATCAAGATGGCTCAACAATTAAAGGCACCTACTACCAAGCCTGACAAGCTGTGTTTGATCCTCAGCACCCACGCTAGAAAGAGAAAACTGACTCCTGCAAGTTGTTCTCTGACCTACACACACACACACACACACACACACACACACACACACACACTAAAATGTGAGTTAATTTTTTTAAAGCTTGTTCCTGCATTCATAACCATTGAATGTGGCTGGTAACAGATGGGCTTCCTTCTTTTTTTTAAAGGTGTTCTGTAAATGTTTCATAATAATGTGTTAACAAAATCCAAACACTGGATGGCTTTCAGACAGCTTGAGCAAAACTTTTAACCCTGCCTGACAACCTGAGTTAGATCCCAGAGCCTAAATGATGGCAATAAAACAAAAACAATAAAAAAATTAAAAAAAAACCTGACTTCCTACAAGCTGGTCTCTGACTTCTGCATGAAGGCTGTGGCTCAGGGACATCCTGCCCCTCAAATGAAATAAATAAAAGTAACGGGAAAGGTTGTTAAAAGTCAAATCAAAATACTGGGCCGGTTTTGCTTTCACAAGACCAAACCTCTGAAGTTCCGCTCTCCCATGCTCACCACATCAACAAAGATACCCCGTATGTAATTTTGAAGAACAAATACAAAGGTAGTGACTACCTCCTCTGTGGTGGGAGTAGCCCCATTGTGACAGGAAAAGGGCCTGGGGTTGTTCTGTTTCAGCATTGCTCCCTCAGTCCCACTGCCCAGCGGCCAGCTCCTCCCTCTCAGCATCTGCTGGAATCTATGTTCTGAGGCCACCCTAAGTATCTACAGAAAGCTCTGACACAGCAGGCCCTCAGTAAAATGGGGGTCTCTTGGGTTCAGCCAGCCCTCCCTCAGCACTTTCTGCCCTTTTCCACATTATGTCACCTTCAGGTCACTCATTGCCTATAAGACTCTGGCAGGTTGAGTTTTTAATAATCATCATATAGGCAGGAGATATTGCTCAAGTTGCAGAGAACACAAGCTTGGTTCCCAGCACCCACATCAGGCAACTGACAGTCCCGTCTAACTCAAGCTCTAGGAGATCCAACACCTTCTTCTGGCCTCCGTGGGCACATCCACATGCACATATACACATAAGTAAAACACACAAAATTAAAAATAAAGGGGGGGAGGGGAAGAGGGTCAAGGGTCTCACTATGTAGCCCTATCCGACTGACCTGGAACTCACTATGTAACCCAGGCTGGCCTTGAACTCATAAAGATCCTTCTGCATTTGCCCTCCTCCCATGCTGAGATTAAGGGTGTGTGCCATGACGCCTACAAAAAATAAAGATTCTCCATCCTAGGCTGCAGTTAGGGGGGTGAGCACCAACACTATTTTTTCCCAAAAGAGGTTCTTATTCTCTGAGTAACTACAAAATCCAGAGAAAGAGAAATAGCAGTCAATCCAAAGATGGTTCTTGCATGCCCTGGCACTACTTAATTCCTTCCTCTTGTTGGTGTGTGTGTGTGTGTGTGTGTGTGTGTGTGTGTGTGTGTGTGTACACATGCACATATGCACACACTTTATGTATATGTATGTATGTAGGTAGGTTGGGGTTGTGTATCCAGATTTAACTATGAGAGAAACATCACCCCCAGAGCTAAGCAGGGGAGGCCATCTGTTTTCACTACTCAGTCTCCCTGTATACACTGGTCAGTTCCCAGCCAAAGACAACTCAAGCTCCAGGCCCCAACTCTACCACTAGTGCCAGTTTGCTTGCAAGGACTTGTGCATTAATGAACACAAGCTCTGCCAACATACATACTGTGTGACCCCTGAACCTTGGTGTCCACACATCAAAGATAAGGAAAAAACTCCCACCATCCTCAAGCTGTGGCTCTGTTTCCCAAAAGTGTTCTGAGGATTAGGTTTGGGAAATTTGGCATTTATAGTCTAACCTTTCTTTCACCTCACACTGGATGAGCACATTAAAGAATCAGAGAAATCCTGAGAGTTTTTGTTGGGTTACTGTTGATGCTGGGCATCAAACTCAGGGATCTAGCACTCAGCTTTGTCCTCTTAGTTTTGGAGGGTTTTTTCAAGGACGAATTTCACCAATCCACACAGAGCTCAGGCTAGCCTCAGATTCCAAACCACCCTCTGCCTTTGCCTCCCAGGTGGTAGGACTGCAGACACGTGATACCCTGGCCAACAGGCCTGCAGTCAGACTTTAAAGTCCATCTTTAAATCCATTCTTCCCTTTCCCTTTTGGCTCCCTACATCTTTCTGTCCTGGGATACTGATTAGCCATTGGAAGCTCTAAACAACTTAGCCCCATGGGGACGAAAGGAGGCCTGCTTCCTGTCCTGGGCCAGCACCTTGCTCTGTGGGGCCAACTTCACTCAGACTCCCACACCTTACCAGGTACCAATACTCTGTCAATTCTCAGCCCCCCCTGAGCCAGCCCTGCCGAGGGGTTTCCTGCAAATGTCCTGCTGGGGCCTTGGAAGAGGAAAGGACTGACTGCCATGCCACTGGCATGCGCAGACCTCCCTGCACCCAGGGCTTCCCTTAAGCAGACACTTGCCCTTCCCAAACATCACCCTTGCAAGGTCTCTAGCGCCTTCCACCCTTGGAGCCCTACGAGCTAAGCCACAACCACCCACCATCCCGCCCCTTGTCCACTCTGGGTATTCTACAAGGGTATATGGGTATATGTGCACCTCGGAGAGAACAGCACAAACAGAAAAGATGCACTCGGAATCCCGGGTTCAGATTGCACAGTTTACGGCTGGACGGTGAAGTACAGCAAAGAGGAGGAGCTGTCGAGTGATGACTTGATTAGTCCTGAGGACTTGTCCGTCACACAGCAAGCTCGATATTGATGCAGCCTATCATTGCTATTATAATCATCCCATCTCTCCTGCAGAAGCGTCCTGGCCTGGGCGGTTTGGGGAAATCTTTATATACGGACTTATTCTCTGCCTAAAAGGTAGGTGTGTACGGGGAGGGGGGGAGTCTGAACCTCTCTCTCCAAACACCCTAAACAGGATCTGGGGCTGGAGACTGGGCGGGGTTCTTCCTCCGCCCCATCAGGGTTCTTTCCCGCCCCTGCTCAGGAGGCCAGCCCAGCTAAACCAGCCCTACTGCTAAAGCCACACAGACTGCCAGGAGTGGATGGGGCCAGTGTCCGCCACTAGTGAAGAAACTAAGGTTTGCCCGCCTCTCTTCTCCGACCTACCTGGTCCTCAACAAGCCTCGGTCCAAGTCTGCTGTGGACAGAGCTTGGTTCTCAACTTTGAGAGGAAAATAAGAGATGACACAAACTTCAACATGAGGGAGTTTAGGCGGTTTAGGGAGGCAAGAGTCCGGTCTAGTGCACTTCTCTGATACCTAGAGAAAACTCCATTTCACCGTAGGGTTACCCATGACCTTAAAGGCCAGAGAGCACAAGCTTTTTCTCTCTCTCCTCTTCAAACACCCAATCTGAACTCGACTTCTCTCTAGGAACTGAAGGACTTTCCGAACTGCCTCGGCAAGTAGGATGGTGGGTCGAGCCGCGCTTCCTGGAGGAGGCGGTGCTTTTCGCGCGCTCGCTGCCGGCGAACCTGCCCTTCCCTCACTCACCGGTGTCCAGAGAGAACCTGCCGCTCGGGCTGTTTCGCCGGTTGCTACTGCCGCCCCCGGAAATGCCCAGAGTCTGCAGATGCCGGACCAGCTCGAACATGCGGTCCCAGTGGCCCTCAGCGCGGCAGCGCTCCATCTCGGTCTCCACCTTCAGGTGGGAGCCGTGCGCGCCCTTCGCAGCCATCTTCGAGCGGGTGCTGTCATGGGAGGTGCGGCGGAGGAGTGGAGACCCGGTCGGGGTCGGCGTCCAGGCTGGGGCGCACTCTCCGGCAGAGTCGACGGGAGTGGGGACGGCATCCGCGGCCCCGGCGGCAGTGGGGGCCCGGGTAAGGACCGGTGGCCCGCAGCAGCAGCAGCGGCGGCAGCGCCCAGCGCACCGCCCTGAGCCTCCGGACTCGGGCTGCGGCTGCGCGACCCTAAGGCGTCCAGAAGCAGCCTCCGCCGCTGCTGCAGCAGCTCCTGGCGCTGCTGCCGCCGCCGACGCTGCAGCTGCAGCTGCTGCCACAGCCCCCGCGGGCCCGGGCGTCTCCAGCTGCAGAGCCTCCCGGGACCGTGGCTCCACCCCCGAAAGGGCGTGGCTATCCCCCGCAGGGCCGGGCGCGCGGGCAGCAAGCGAGGCCACAGCAGCCAGGCGCGCGCCGGGCGACCTCGGCCCGCCCTCCGCCGGCCCCCAGCCGCTGGCTGGGTGCTCACTTTAATGCTGCGGGGAGCCCGGGCGCCCGGGGGCGCCTCGCCCCCCGTCCCCTCCCCATGCCGTTGGCAGTCTCAGCCTGGGATCCTGCGCCCGGACCGCCCTGCTTTGTGTGGTGGCCCCGTCACCGCCACAGCTTGCCGCACGTCACAAATCCGAGGAGCGGCCGGCAGGACAGCCCTAGTCACGAGCTCCAGGGGATCCCGGCCGGATGCAACGGCAGGGCCGTGTCCTAGGCTCCTCGGAAGTCCCCGAGTGGAGAGGGCTTATGTTTGTTTTAGCGGCCGGACTCCTCTTTCAGTCGGTCTCCCTACTTTGGGCACTGGAAGAGGCTCTGAGCAGCTTTTCCACTCACTCTTTTTGGTGTCTAAAGACTGATCAGCTGCAGGGAGCGCCCGACTCCTCAGCTTAGCTCTAAGGCAAGTGGTGCCCAGAAGTTCAAAGGACGGGGGGCGGGGCTTGGAGCGGCCGGGACCGTCCGGACTAGAAGGTATCGTGACCCCGCATTCGATGAAACTGGAGCTGTCAAGTCCTGCACGAGAACTGAGGGTATCACTCTGAAAACGCCCAAGACCCGTACTTACATCACTTGTTGTGTGGACCAGTCCGAAAACTTTCGAGGACGATGGGGTTAAGGCAAGCTTTTCGGTAGACTCCCAGAAGTTCGAAACTGACCGATTCATACCCCTCCGGGAAGTCCTCCCACTCCCTGCCCTTCATTGTCCGGAAACTCACCGCTGCAAGTTTCGCAGCAGACGTAAGGGATGAAGGTTTTCGGGCTTTTCAGACCTCAGGCTCCTGACGCCATCATCACAGTGCCCGTCTCTATCCAAACTCCAGCTTCCCCACGGATATCTTCCCTCGGATCTACCTGCAGCCCCTTTCCGTCCTGGAAGGCAAGATTCCCCACCCCTGTGTGTTGTCCTGAGCACCTAGGGTTCCTCAGAACTAGGTGACCGGGAAGGAGGCAGAGAGTGAAAGACTGATTTGGGTAGCCTGAGAATACAGTCAATTTACCCTAGTCAGATTGTTCCTGGGAGTTGCTCCTGAGGCAAGAGGGAACAGCAAGATTGACTGAAGAGGGGAGGGTAGCCTGACAGAAAAGAGAGAGCCCCCTCTTTCCTTCCTGCTCCTTTGTCCACGGTGGCAAATACTGGGGGGCTGGCTGCAGAGAGCATCGCTGCTTGTCTGACCCTGCCATCATCAGTTTGTGTGCAGCTTAGGGGAGGACACAGTTTGCTTCAGGTTGATAGCAAGGGTTCCTCCACGTGCCTGACCATTCCTCAGCTCTTTTCCAGCAAAGCCAATACTGACCGAAAGACCAACAATTATCAAGAGAGTGCAAACCCATAGGAAAAAGAGCGGCTGAGATTGTATTAGTAACATGTGCCGAGATACAGGCAAATAGCAGAGCGGTGTTTGTTGGATGTGGTGGTGCACACTTGCTGTCACTGCGTTTGGAAACTAGAGGCAGGGGGATTACAGAGAATTCAAAGCCAGCCTGGGCTATAGCAGTGAGCTCCAGGCCAGCCAGGATTGCGTAGCAAGATCCTAAAAAGGGGGGTGGGGGCGATGTTTTACTTTTACATAGCAAGATCCTTGAAAAAAACAAAGGTGGTGGTGTTGTTCTGGTTTTTGGTTTTTTAATAATCTTAAATCTCACAGATAAAAATTTAGGGTAAATTCTGGTCAAGACAGCTGTCATACCACCTTACCAAACCTACTGCCCCAGCAGCATGGTGGCCTGCTAAGCTGACTTTATTGCTCATGGTAGAGAGGACCAGCTTTGACCTGTAACAGTTTTATTGGTGTTTCTAACAAGGAAAATGAAGTGCATGGGAGGAAGTGTGGGATTTGGGTTGTTTTGTTTTGTTTTGTTTTTTGGTGGGGGGTGGCTGTTTGAGACAGGTCTCACTATATTGCCCTGCCTGGCCTGGAATTCACTGGGTACACCAAGCTAGCCTTAAACTCAGAGATTTGCATCTTAGTGCTGAGACTAAAGGTGTGCACCACCACTGTGGGCACCACCACTGTAGGCAGAAGGGTATATGCAGTTTTTAGTGAGCAACAAAAGGCATAAAGCTTAAAACAGACCTGAGGGCTAGTCTGACTGCATACTTAGTTGCTGTCCCTAGACAAGAGAAAGGGCTTAACAATATATTAATGAGATTTATGAAGATAAGGGCTCGGTGGACCTTGAAAGGTTTGTGAGACTTAGGTGGGCCCAGAAACACACAATATGGAAGAGCTAATGCTAACTCACAGAAAGCCTATTCATGCTTGCTTCCACAGGAAACAGGCTACTAGGGATGTGGTTAAGTCAAATTCACAACACAGCTGCCTGAGTCTTCAGTAAAAGGGAGAAACCCCTGTAATTGCCTTTTTCTCTGGTTTGCCTGGGAGCCTTTGGGGCACCTGGTTTTCTAAAGGGGTTACCCCTATGGACCATCTTGCCTTTGCTTACAAATTAACAGCCTGTGAGTGGCACACTCTGAGGCTGAAGGAGCAGAAAGTTGAATCAGTGTTGCAGATGACCTCCTGTGTAGGATTTGAGAAAGGTCATCCACATACTGAGTAAGAATAGAGAGAGCCCCAGAGAACATTATGGCCCTTGGGTTCTTGGTTGGGCACTTGGGAGTGGGGAGGAGGTACTTCAGTAGTTCCCAGACACGGAAACCCATGGACAGTGTTGATTTTCCCCTAGAGAATACAAATAGAAGTGTTGAGGGTTTGGTTTGGTTTGGTTTGGTTTGGTTTGGTTTGGTTTGGTTTGGTTTGGTTTGGCTTTAATCTAAAGAGGTACCAAGAAAAGCAATGCACATAATAACTGTAAGGTTGTGAGACTTCACAATAGCATCTGAGCCCAGTGCTGTGGGAGTGGAGAGTGATTGTCTTACATCGGTACCTATGTCGATCATGAATTTGTAAGGTTATCCTCTAATCTCTAGAGACATGTTCCCTTGTAGGTCTAAGGATAAAATGGGAGCTGGAATACCCTCACTTGTGATTTGCCTCTCCTCAACCCCCACCTAAAGCTCTTTCAAAATATCCTGCCTGCTGTGGAAGGCCTAGCTGTAGGGCTGTTTCCCACTCTAGTTTATGCTCGCAGACTAAATCACTTTATGGTTTGAAGCTAGTCAGAAAAACATCACGGCTAGAGCACCCCTGCTTCCTGACCTGCTGAAGGCTCTCCCTAGTGTCAGGGCCCCTAAGGCTCCTTTGGACTCCTCTGAATGAAATGGAAGAATGACCTTCCAAAGACCTTGAACAACATCCTTGGCTTTTCCAACCTCTATTTTAAGTTACTATAGGGATCTTCCTACCTTTGTTTTTTATTGACCTTTCTGAATCGGAAGTGCCAACTACCAAATGAATTAATTGGCGTGAGTGTGTGTGCATATATCTTTGAGAGTTTATCATATACTCTCAAAACAATCCTAAATCCTAAACAATGAACAATGGCTTTCAACTGAGATTGAAACCAAAAGTAATTGTACTATAGAGATGTTTTTCCCTCTCCTCTGATGAACTTTTATCTTTAAGAGGTGAGTGAGTGTCATGGTATCTGGCTATCCAGAAGGAGAAATAGACAGGGGGATGGAAGCATGAAGGGTAGTAGGAGAAGAGAATAGAAGGTTTGAATTGTGGTGTGGGATCACATAAAGTATGGCTTTATGCTATTTGTTTTCATTTTGCTTTGGTCAATGAATCTATTCATGAATCATTTTGAAATCTGATTCATTTGAGCACTTCCTCATGCTAATAAAAAAATAAATAAAATAAAGATTCCTGAGTGTTGCATTTTTGTTCTACTCCATTCTAAAGCACCTCAAGTGAATTTTGTTCATATCAGAAGTTCGTTGTAGTATCCACTGTAATTTTAAAACTTCAATTCTAAACTATTTTATCACAGAAGGATGCAGTTTAGTCAAGTGGACACATTTGCATGTACGATGTCTGGTCCAGGAAAAGTACAGAGGAAGAAAGTCTTGCTCAGGGACAAACACATGAGAGCCTTCAAATAGTGAGCTATGTTGCCGGTGCACAGAATGGCTCAGGGGCTCATGGGCTCACAGCCAGACAGTTCCACAGTGCCTGGTAGTTCTCTGCTGAAGGAACATTTGGAAAGATTCTCCTGAACTCACAGGCAAAATGAAGCAAGCCTGAGGAAAGCTCTCTTAAAGTTTTGAACAAAGACAAAATTTGTCCCACAGCAAGTTAGGTTTGATGTAGTGGGGGTCCACACTTGTCCTTTCTACTGGATGCTTTCCTCTGTGGCTAAAAATGGCAGGAACAGGAGGCAGACAGAACTAGTGCTGTAAATAAGGCAGACATCCTAATGAGGAATGATTTGCAATCAGGCTAGGCAATCAACAAGCTCCTAGAACAGTCTTTTTTATTGTTAGGGGACAAAATTTACTCACTATTTGGGGAATGTAATAAGAAAAACTGAAGGAGCTTGAGCTTAATATAAGACTCCTATCCTTCACTGTCAGAATACAGTCCAGGCCAGAGACACACTGTTCTGAGTCAGGAGTCTTAGGCTATATTATTGTTTGAACCTTCACAAACCTGTGTTGTGAACCCTTGTTCCCTGACAAGTGGTGCTGTTTCTGGAAGTTTCGGGCCATGGCAAATGAACTAGGTCACTGATGAGGGATAGTTTGAAGATCCTGGCCACTAGTGCTAACTGCCTTCTACTTCCTGTCTTGTCGGGCTGTGGGCTGCCAAAAGTTGACCTCTCCACCTGTTCCAACTATGATAGACGTAACCCTCTGAAACCACGAGTCAAAAAACTAAACAATCTTTCTTCCTATAAAGTTGTTCCTGTCATGTATTTTTCCCGGTGTTGGAAAGGTAATGTAGTCGAACTGAGGTCTTGGTTTCAGTGGACCTCCATGACTGAATGATAACTTTCTGAAAATACCAAGACAACTCTCTGGTAAGTCAGACTATTCCCTTTGCCCCATCACGCCACTCTGTGCCAGATGGTACAGTGGCTGTGAACAGTGAGGCCAAAGGCCACCAAATGCTCCCAGCTGTCTAGAAATGGAACATGGAGTCTGAGAAGTTGCTTTCCTTTACTTTCTATGCCAGCCTCTTCTTTCATTCCTGCATGTAGGAGATCCAGCAAAATCCAGAATGCTACTTCAGTTCTGTCTTTCATGACTCCCACTCTCTGTCATCCTAAACTTCTTGACTATGAATATGAATGGGAGCTTTGCTTTATGGCCAA